CCGATCGTGTCGCGACGCCGCCGCGTTCGCCGCCATCGTCCTCGTCACCGTCGCCGCGTCCATTGTGTCGCGGTCGCTGTTGCCGCCGTCGCCCCCGCCATCGCCGAGTTGCCGACGCGATCGATCGCCGCCGCCGCCATCGTCGCGGCCGCCGCGGCCGCCGCGCGTCGCCACAGCGGTCACAGTCGTCGCCGCGCTGCCGCCGCGGTCGCTGCCGGCATCGTCGCCGATGTCGTCGCCGTCGTCGGCGTTGCCGTAGGCGCCACTGTCGCCACCTTCGCCGCGGCCGCCGTCGTTGCCGCCGTCGCCGCGGTCGCAGCCGTTGTCGTTGTCATCGTCATTGCTACGTCGCCGCCGCGGTCACCGCCGCGTCGACCGTCGTCGTCGCTGTCGTCGCTGTTGTCGGTGTTGCACTCGTCTTCGTCCATCCCAATCATCTTCGCCAGCGCCACGGCACCACGGCGGTCGATTTCGCCATCTTCATGCAAAGACGCGACAATTCGAAAGCTAGCCGTTAGCCCCTTCCCTTGTTTGCTGGAGCCATCAACAAAGCGATTCGGTTTCGGTCAACACCATATTACGTCGCACCTTTCGTGCGGCATCCTTGCATTGTCCTGCTCCCTCACAGCCTCCTCGCCCACCGTAGTGAGCATTGCAAGGGTACGGAATCTACATGCTCGCCCTCGTTGACAAATCCGGCTTTAGAGGCTCCTGGGGTGGCAACGCTGGGATATTTGCGGCTTCGTGGGGGCATGTTTGGGGGTCCTGTTTTTTTCGTAACGCTTAAGCCGTTCTGGATGGCTAAGAGCCTGTCCTGGGGGCCATCGGAGGGGCCCGTCTTGAGCCCTCCTCGTGTCCTGGCGAGGCCTTCGTGGACCACCCTGTCCACCCTCCCCTCATTCCTCCTCATCGCCCTCAATCCCCCTTCGTTGCGCGGCGACTGCTATTTTTGCAGTAGGGCAACCTAAAGCATCAAGATTTCAGAGGCGCAGCGTAGCAAGCTGGTGAAAACATGTTGTTGATCAATTTTCTCACATGGGGCTTTCCAGGAAGGGTCTCGCCTTCGACTCAACTCGGCTTCGGCGCAAGCGGGTGGAAGACCCGCAGAAATAAAGCAGAGGCAGGACCGTCGGCGGAAGCCAGCGGAGGTTCGGCGGAATTCTGCCGTAGTACAAGTGGGAGGTCGACATCTTTGGTTTCAGGATTTCTGGGAGTGGCCACATGTTCGAATGTGTTCGGGGTCGCGGAAAGTTTGTCCGTGTCTGAAATTGTTTCTTGAGGTGTTCTGGAAGGAGGAGGGAGGGAGGAGGAGAAGGAGGAGGAGGAGGAGGAGCAGCAGCAGCAGCAGGAGCAGCAGGAAGAGGAGCAGCAGCAGCAGCAGCGAGCACGATTTGAAGGAATTCTACCCGGTTTGGGAGGCTCTTTGGTTTTTGTTAGGGCGTTGTAGGGAGACGCGGGAGGCCCAGGGGGACGCGAGAATGGAGCGCAAAGGCGGGGAACCCAGAGACAGGGATGGGCAGGATGAGCACGAGGAAGAGGCGAAGGACAAGGCGGGCAAGCATGGGCCACCAGCCCCGACCGCTCGATGCCCCTTCCCCTGGGCTGGATTGTCACCCCGAGCCTTGCTTGAGGGCCCCGCGGGGCCCGAAGTTGGCCCCGGGGGGCCCCCTGTGGGGGAGGCGGACGACGCAGCCCGCGCGCCTGCAAACCGGCGGACAGCTCTAGACCACCGGCCTCCGCGTCTGGAGCTCCTTACAGGAGGAACAAACACAAAAACAACAACAACAACAACAACAACAACAACAACAACAACAACAACAACAACAACAACAACAACAAAAAAAAAAAAATGGCTTGGACCCCACCGGGCCAAAAGACAGTGGCGAACTGGTCGCCTCGAGTCACATGAGCCCGCCCCACGACCGCCGCCCGCTCCTTCGCACCATCGTCGTCGAGCACAGGCGCACGCCCCTTCTTCTCTGTAGCAAACTCCTGATCAACCGCAGAGCGTCTGGCTAGTTCGAGACGCTGGATTCTTGGACATCTACGAGGCCCCCCTCGTCCTGCGGTGCCGGTTGCAGCGGGAGGGTGCTCGCCGGGCTTGGACCCGCCCGCGGATCCGCCTGACGTGCGGCGTTGCGGAAAGTTCGCAGTGTTGGCTAGCGGCGGCCCCAAGCAGCGATTCCTTGCAATCTGCGCGGCGCAATCTAGGTGGTGCAACCAAGGTGGTGCAGTCGTGGCGGTGCAGTCCATGTGGTGCCATCTGTGCAGCGCAAAGCAACGCCAAGCAATGCGAAGCAATGCAGAGCAAAAGCCGTGCAAAGCAGTGGCAACCAATGCCAAGCAATGCGGGCGGCGACGAGCATGCCGGATTGGCACTGGGGCCCAACGGCGACCGCGGCGACGGGCAGCGACGAGCCGGCCAGACCGGCACGGGGGCCCAGGTACCTGAAAACATAAGTAAGAACCCTTTGGCGCAAGCATTGTTTGGGGAATAGATCGGCATACAACGCAAAGCAATCCAAAGCAACGCAAAGCAATGCGAAGCAATGCAGAGCAATGCGATACAATGCAAGGCAATGGAAGAGCGCACTCGTGGCACACTTCTCACTAAAAGGGGGACCCCAACTTGAAGCTATCCCCGCCCCCCTCCCTTGGAAGAGGGGGGGGGGTCCGAAGCTACCCCCCCTTCCTTCTGCGGGCATTTTGGAGCTACGGGGACCCTAGCTACAGGTGGAGCGGGGCCGTCCAAGCTACCCCCCCCCCCTTCTTGTCTGGAGCCCAAGGTCAGCCCAGGCTCCCCGTTCAAAGGGAGGGAGGGGGTCCAAAGCTACCCCTCGTTCCTTTTGTTTGGTTTTTGTACCTAGGGGTTCCTGGCTGAAGGGAGGGGGTTGGAAGCTATTATCCCCTTACCTCCCCCTCTTTTCAGGGCCCCGGTCAAGTCCGGGCTCCTCTTTCCAAAGTGGGGGGGTGTTTCCGAAGCTACCCCCCTTCCTCCTTTTGTTGGCTTTTCCAGATGGAGGGCCCTGGCTGAAGGGAGGGCTTCGGAGCTACTTCTCTTCTTTGGTCTTCGGCGCCGCGTTGGTTTTCGGCTTACCTGTGGTTTCGGAGCCCTGTTGGTTTTCGGCGCCCCTTTGGCTTTTGGCGCCCCTTTGGCTTTCGTCGCTCCTCAGGTTTTCGGGGCTCCTTTTTGTTTTTGGCGCTCCTGTGGTTTTTCGGCGTCCTTTTCAGGTTCGGCGGCCCTTTGGTTTTCGGCGCCCTGTTGAGCTTCGGCGCCCCTTTGGTTTTTCGGCGCCCTTCTAATTTTCGGCGCGTCGTTGGCTTTCGGCGCCCCTTTGGCTTTCGGCGCCCTATTGGTGTTCGGCGCCCCTTTGGTTTTCGGCGTCCTTGTCAAGCTCGGCGACCCTTTGGTTTTCGGCGCCCCTTTGAGTTTCAGCAATATTTGTTATTCAGCGCCCTTTTGGTTTTCGGCGCTGCTCTGGCTTTCGGCGCTCTTTTGGTTTTCGGCGCATCTTTAGTTTTCGGAACCACGCTGGTTGTCGGAGTTCGTTTTGTTTTCGGCGCTTCTTTGGTTATGGGCGCCATTTTGGTTCTCGGCGCCCCTTTGGTTTTCGGCGCCCTTTTGGTTATCGGCGCTTCTTTGGTTTTCGGCTCCCTTTTACTTTTAGGCGCCCCTTTGGTTTTCGGCGCTCCTTCGGTTTTCGGTGCTCCTTTGGTTTTCGGCGCCCTTTTGGTTTCCAGCGCACCTTCAGTTTTCTGCGCCGCTATGCGTGTAATCGGCGCCCTGTCCCTCTTCGGAGTTTCTGTTGTTTTCGGCGCCCCTTTCGTTTTCGGCGCCCCGTTGGTTATCAGCGCCCCTTTGGTTTTTCAGCGCCCTTGCGGATTTCGGCGCATCGTTGGTTTTCGGCGCCCCTTTGGCTTTTGGGGCTCCTTTGGTTTTTGGCGCCCTTAGGTTTTTGACGCCTTTTTGTTTGTTTGGCGCCCCTCTGGTTTTTCAGCACCCTTTTCTGGTTTTGCGGCGCATCGTTGGTTGTCGGCGCCCCTGTGGTTTTCGACGCTTCTCGGGTATTCGGCGCTCCGTTGGTTTTTGGCGCCTTCTGGATTTCGACGCCTTTTTAGTTGTCGGCGCCCCTACTGGTTTTTCGGCACCCTTTTGATTTTGCGGCGCGTCGTTTGTATTCGGCGCCCCTGTGTTTTTTTTTTTCGGCGCCTTGTGGAGTTTCGGCGCCCCTTTGGCTTTTGGCGCCCGTTTGGCTTTCGGCGCCCTTTTGGTTTTCGACGCTCCTTCTTGTTTTCGGCGCTCCTGTGGTTCTTTTCGGCGTCCTTTTCAGGTTCGGCGGACCTTTTGTGTTTCGGCGCCCCTTTGGTTTTTCGGCGCCCCTTTGATTTTCGGCGCGGCGTTGGCTTTCAGCGCCCCTTTGGTTTTCGGCGCCCTATTCCCTATTAGTGTTCGGCGCTCTTTTGGTTTTCGGCGTCCTTGTCAAGCTCGGCGACCCCTTGGTTTTCGGCGCCCTTGGAGTTTTCAGCAATATTTGTTATTCAGCGGCCAAAAGGGGGAGGGGGGCATCCGGCAGGGAAGTTCCAAAAGGGGGGGGGGTAGCTAAGCCCCCCCCCCCATTGTGGAAAGGTGGGAGGGGGGTAGCTTCTGGAGCGCGAAGAGGGAGGGGTGGTAGCTTCCGAGGGGCAGAAACAAGAAAAGGGGGGGGTGGAGGCTCCCGACAGGGGAGGTCCAAGGGCAGGGGGGGCATAGCTGAGCCCGCCCCCCTCGGGAAAGCGAGGGGGGGTAGCTTCCACAGCAGCGCGAAAGGCGGGCGGGGGGATAGCTTTCGAAGGGCGGGAAAAAGGAGGGGGGGGGGGGGCTTCCAGCAAGGGGGGTCCGAGGGGGCGGTTAGCTAGGGGGGGGGCCTCTGTTTGGGCGCGCCGCGGGCGCGCTCTCTCACAACGCAGCGCAGTGCGACGCAAGCAAGGGCAAAGCAGTATATAAAAAACAAAGCGAAGCAATGCAAGCCAATGCAGTGTGCGAGCCTTGCACCATAAAGATCGTGACCAGAGAATGGTGCGGCGACTGACCGTAGCCGTTCTGGCTCAAGGCCCGAGAGAAGGGCGCCCCCTTCCGTAGAAGTATGGGAAGGGGGCTTCTGCTACACTTACTTATGATGCGCACGCGCGCGATCATGTCAGGAAGACGTTAGGAGCAGCTCGCAGTGGGCGCTCCCGTTCTGACGTCGCCCGCAGGCGCCCTCACGCTGGGGAGCCCTGATTCGCAACCCGTGCCGCGCTCTCGCCAGACGCCCATGCTGGAGGCGCCCAGCTTCCTGGCGCCCGCTGCCGCCGAGGAGGTGCAGTCTCACGTGCGGGCCTGGTTCGATGTGGTCGAGTCGGAGCTGGCGGCGGTCGACGACTCGAACCGTCCAGCCTGCGTGCCTAGTCCACATTTCAGAGAGCAGGTACAAGCTCCACTGTGGTGAGTTCAGTGGCCCCTGTGGCCCGCTACTGAAGGATGTCCTGGACGTGATCGTGCCAGGTCTCCCACGTGCACGTGCCCTTCGGCCTGCACGACGGCGTGCAAAACGTCCACTCTGGCAGCTTGGGCATACCGGTCCTCGGCGCTATGTATCACCCGTTGTTTTCTCCACTATTGCTGTGCCTTTCGCGATGGGCAACGTCAGGTCTGCTCTGGCATATGTCAACACGCCGGTTGTCGGTTGGGACAATTCTGTGAAAGGGATGCTGCAATGTAACAGCACCAGCGCGCGCATCAAGAAGGCCGTCGTCCGCGGCAGAACGCAGTGGAAGGGGATGAAGTTCGGGACTTGCACGCAGAGCTGCGGCTGGGAAGACAATGGCCGCTGGCTCCTTCACATGCTTGGCGAGTCTCACCCCGGCATGTTCGACGCTTATGTCACCAAGATCCACCGGAGAAGCAATGGCAGCGGCTTCCTGCCCTTGACGGAACAGCTGTGCAACTACCAGGCTATATTGAACGTGGGGAGCGCCAACGACTGGGCCGAAAGACTCAGGCAGTGCTTTTATGGAAACGCCGTCGTCATATTGCCCGAGAATCCGCCATCCGAGTTTTTCAACAGTTTCATGCGAGCGTGGAGGCATTCTGGCCCAGCAAGTCTGACCTCAGCGATGTCGTTGAACAAGTGTCCCATGTCATGTCGCCGGAGAACACGTCGCGGCAGCTGCAGGGTCAGGAGGATTTTGCCCGAAAGTATTTGAGCGAGGAGTTTATGTATTATTACAAGATGGTTATCATGGAGTACGCCGCGCGGGTGAGGAACTTCGTCCACGGGACGCAGGTTGCCCAGAGCCGCGTCGCCGCAGAGGAGGCGAGGTCCCTCTTTAAGCTCGGCGGTTGCCGTCGCTACCATGAGCGCGAGTGCCCGCCCAGGGATCCTAAATGACGTGGTCAGTGCCCACCCATTTCTCCTGTCAGCTCGGCGGGTTACAACAACATATGTTATCATGGAGTCCGCCGCGCGGGCAAGGGGCTTCGTCGACAGGGCGAAGCCCTCCCGTCGCGGGGCTTCGTCGACAGGACCCAGCCATCCGAAACAGTTTTAGGTAGGCTTCTGGCCAGCCCCAGCCAGGGGAAATCCAGGATATGTTTTTCCGGTGTTGGCCCAGCTATCCAAAACAGCGTCGCCGCATATGAGGCGAGGTCCCTCCTTCAGCTCGGCTGTTGCCGACACTTCCATAAGCGTGAGTGCGCGAGTGTCCACCCATTTTCACTTTACTTGCATGTGTACGCGCATTTGGCGCGTCGACTGTTTCGTCGTCTGGTCACTGATTTTTTCATCGCTGTCAAGAAATGGTGCGGCGATGAACGGCGGCGACGGGCGGCCACACGTTGGCTGGACCAGCGCGCAGTCCAAGCTTCGAGCCGCGCACAATCACAATCGTGACCACATTGGCGCGGCGACGGGCGGCTGCAGGGCGGCGGAGCTGGCAACCAGGCCCAGCTCTCTTTATGATTATGGGTCAAGCGAGAGCTCCTCAGCACATGCACCGGAAGGGGAACACCGCGAAAAGTCGCGACTGGAGCCCCAGGGCCCATCTTCCTGCGGCACTCTTCGGGCCGGGCCGACCTTCGAGTGCCCCAGGGCCCGAGACAGGGCAGGGTCGTCCCTTCCGGAAGACTTGCAGCGCCTGGATGCCAGGGACGACGCGTGATCCACAGGGGCGGGCCAGGCGCTCCCCGCGCGCGCGCCCCGAGAACTGCCGGGCTGGCGCGGGAAGCCGGCGGCGCAGAACGACGGGCTGCTGTGGTGGTTCTTGCGGGACCCCGGGCGCCCCCGCGGGAGGCGGGGACCTGGCCTTGGCGACAGCTGGGCGTCCGAGGTGGCTCGGCGCTGGTCCCCGCCAGCATCCCTAAGGGCTTGTCGACTTCTCGGCAATCGACTTGTGGGGATCGAGCCAGGTAAGTACAGTTAAAGGCAGATAAATCGAGGCAAATCCATGTACATCGAGATAAATCTGGGCAAATCCAAGTCAATTCAGGGATCTCCAGGGAAAGTTGGAGCAACTCGCGGCTGCTCCAGCGAGAGTCGAACGGCGGCAGAAGTCGTTAAGTCTTTAAAGACAGCAGGAGGGGCGGGGGGGGGCAGGTTCGACATGCTGGGTTCGAGAAGGCCTTTTGCTTGTTGAGTCCCTGAGGACCTCCCAGGTGGACCCCAGGAGAGGTCCAGGGACTGATCCTCCCCCCCCCCGCCCCTCTGGACCAAGTGCCTCGGGCCCAAGCAGCTCAGACCCCCTGGCCGCTTCCAAACCTGGTCAAGCCAGGGCACTACTGTTGGGAGCTTTGGCTCAGCGTGTCGCTCCGCCAGTTCTGGCCCACCAATCCCAGGAGGACGAGGAGGGACGAGGAGGAGGAGGAGGAGGAGGAGGGACGAGGAGGAGGAGAAGGAGGGACGAGGAGGAGGAGGAGGAGGAGGAGGAAAGGGAGGAGGAGGGACGAGGACGAGGAGGAGGAGGATGAGGAGGAGGAGGAGCGTCGCTATCCACTTCCCGGTCCCCAGGCGTCCGCGTCCCGAGCTCTTCCGAGCCGCCCGCCCCACGGTGCGGAGCGGCACGCGGTCCGCTCGCAGGGCACAGCGCGTCGCCGGGGCCGCCGCGGTGACTCGTTAAGGGAATGTTCCCGACCGTAGTCGAACACACACACACACTTACACACACATACACACACTTACACTTACACTTACACTTACACTTACACTTACACTTACACTTACACTTACGCACACACGCACACACGCACACACGCACACACGCACACACGCACACACGCACACACGCACACACTCACACACGCACACACGCACACACGCACACACGCACACACGCACACACGCACACCACGCACACACGCACACACACGCACACACGCACACACGCACACACGCACACACGCACACAGCACACACGCACACACGCACACACTCACACACTCACACCGCACACACACACAAACACGCACAAAGCACACACTCACAACGAACACACGCACAAACGCACACACGCACAACACACACACACACAACACACACACACACCACACACACACCGCACGCACGCACACACACAACACACACACACACACACACACACACACACAACACACACACACAACACGCACACACGCCACACGCACACACGCACACACGCCACGCACACACGCACACACACACCACACACACACACACACACGCACGCACGCACACACCACACACACACACACACACACACACACACACACACCACACACACACAACACACACGCACACACACGCAACACAACGCACACAACACACGGGCACACACACACACACACACACACACACACACACACACACACATTGCAAAAAGCGTCTCGCTAGGAACTGGGCCCAGGCATACTATAGCACAGCAGTGCGACCTGCAGACAGCAGACTCACACTGCTTGGGGAAGGGCACGGGACAAACCCTTCGACAAACTTCTGGGCACCTCCATCCCCCTCTTCGAAGGGTGAGGCGGCCGTTCCTTGCTCAACTTCACCTCATTGACAGTACCACTGCGGGAGGGTGAGGGGGAGGAGGGCGGGAGGATTGGCCCAGGGCTCCGCAGGCCCCTCCGCGCCGTGAGACACACATAAGGACGGAAGGCCTTCTCGGCCGTGGTCCTCCCCTGGGGGGGGGGGGGCCCGCGCCGGGGCCCCGGGACCGTGAAAGAACGCGGCCCGGGATGCTACGCCGACCCCTGGGCATAGGGTCGGGACCTCCGGGGACCCCGCGTGGACAAGAGGCACGACGTCGGAGGGATCTCGACGAAGCGAGCGTGACGGGGACCGGGAGCAGTGCTCAAGCAGCACACGGCGCACCGCCGCGAAGCGTCACTGACAGCGCTGCTGCCCCTCCGCAAGGGGCAATAGCGCCATCCGACGGGGGCTAACAAAAACAAAGGCACGACGTCGGGTGTCGGGGGGGGGGGGCAGGGAGGCTCAGTCCTTGAGGGGCCGAGGCGCCTCCAGAGGAGGGGCGCCCGCCTTCGCGCCCGGTCCCGCACACCTTTTTTTCCCACTCTTCCTGTGCAGATGGTTTCCTCTAAGGACGGGCACGCTCCAAACCGCTGCCGGAACGGGAGCAGGAGGTCATGGAGGATGAAAGAACCCCGAACCCTAATATCACCATGAAGGCGTAGCCTCACTGAGGTCCCCGTCTTCGCATTCGGGATAACAGATCTGGGCGGCTCGTTTCGATGCATCCGCAGAAAGACCCCCTATCCCTAACGTTCCTGGCCCTCCTGACTTAAGGGCCCCTCCCAGAGGGTTAGGGGCCGTTTTCGGTCCATCAGGAGGAGGAGGAGGAGGAGGAGGGGGAGAGGGAGGAGGAGGAGGAGGAGGAGGAGGAGGAGGAGGAGGAGGAGGAGGAGGAGGAGGAGGAGGAGCCCCCGGAGCTCCGACGATCGATGCCCGGCTCCTCCCCCCAAAAAATTCTGCTCTGGGGGGGCGCTTCTTCGTTTTTCCCTTCCGTCTACTTTTTTTTCATTTAGGTTGCGGGACCCGGGGCCAACAATGGCCATGACGAAGGACTCCCTCCTCCTCCTCCTCCGATCCATCTCCTCCTCCTACCTCCTCCTCTCCTCCTTCCTCTCCTCCTCCATCCTCCTTCCATCCCCACCATCCCCCCCCTCCTCCTCTCCTCTCATGCATCGCTCGGACGTGTGCCTTTTTTCTCGGCGAGAACCATTGAGGACGATCCTGGACCATCGAGCAAAAAAGACACGCACGAAACCGAAAAGTGCGCGGGAAATGGACGTCCGAGCGATGGCGAGTCCTGGCCCCGGGGCCAAAAGCGGGTCCAGGAGGAACAACTGCCCCCCACCCCCCTGGGGAGGTGTCGGGAGCTGTGGGGCCGCGGATGAAAAACATGTTGCCCGTGTGAGAGGAAAGGTTGTTGTGCGAATAGAGGCGGCACGCACGTTAGGAGAGAACGCATTGACTGTTCTGGCAACGAGCTTGAGTCCGCAACGACTTGCCGAACATTTGCAGGGTTATGCTGCCTGTGTTATAGAGGCTACGAAACGGGCCAGGCACACCCCAAGACGGCAAGAGGCCCCGAAGACGCCCGAAGTGGATTCCAATGTTTCGTCCATGTGGTAAGGTACGGCCAGACCGAGGTACAAGGTCGAGGTCGGTTCGGGGAGGGCACCCTCATGCTTTTCGTGCCTGCTGGCTGCTCCTGCGCATCCCGGGGGAGGGTAGCCTCGGATGTTCCCTGTGCTTTGGCCGGCGGAGGGCTTCACGTTCTCGACGGATGTTCTCTTCCTGTCTCGGGTCCGAACGTGCCCAGGGTTGAAGGTCGACGCCCTCGCCCTCTTCGGGCTCTGCGGGGGCCCGGCTTCGGGCTCCCAGGGTCCGCCCAGAGGCGGGCTGCGGGCCCAGGAGCAGGGGAGGGGGGTCCCGGGGGGGGGGGCTCTGAGCGGGAGGAGGAGCAGGAGGCAGACGGGGGGGATCTCTGCAGGACCGTGGTTCGAGGCGGTTCGAGGCGATTCGAGGCTCGAGGTTCAAGGAAGGCGTTGGGGGCGGGGCGGAGGACGACGACGAGGTTCGAGATTCAAGATCCACACATTCCAAAGAGGCTGCATCCGACGAAGAGGACGACTTCGACGACCTCGAGGAGGAGGAGGATGAGGAGGAGGAGGAGGAGGACGACGACGACCTCGACGTGATCTAGCTCGACGTGCCTGCACGGGTAGCTCCGACGCGCAGACGGGGTGGGCTTCACGCTCCCTGCCCGCTCTGGCCGATTAGGCTCGATACCGCTCACGAGTTCCATTGCGCAGCTCACCCATAGGAGGTGGAGGAAACAGGAGGAGGAGAGTGGACGATGAAGATGAATAAGATATGAATAATGTTATTAATGGGAATGACAATACTAATACGAATAACAATAGCAATCATACTAATGATAGTAATAATAACAGTAACAATAGTAGTAGTAGTAACTGTAGTAGTAGTAGTAGTAGTAGTAGTAGTAGTAGTAGTAGTAGTAGTAGTAGTAGTAGTAGTAGTAGGAGTAGTAGTAGTAGTAGTAGTAG